GGAACAAATTGTAAGCATAAAACTCTTCTCTTGGAAATGTCATTGGTATGTGATGTTTTCATGCCGTCTCAGCTTCTTGAGCTCTTTCCCGTTGCAAATGTGCAAATCTAATCATTAAAAAAAAAAAAATCTTCAGTTATGGAGAATGCTATATATTTCACATCAACACTGTCCGGTCTTCAAAGGATATATAATTAATGTTTCACATTCTTCAACACTGCCCAGTTTTCAAGGAATGCATAATTAATGTTTCACATTCTTCTATTTTCATCTGGGCCCCTGATCAAAAATGTATGATTATCTTCAGAGGTCATCCAATTATAATTCAAAGTAAGTATATCTAATAAAAGATTAACACAAATTTCCATTTATCCAAAAGACAAAAGCTATGTTAAGATTAAGTTAAGGAGAGAGGTCACAACCATAATTTAAAGTGCATTGTATCACAAGGAAATTATATTCCTCTTCAAAGTAAACCTCCCCCCCCCCCAAAAAAAATCCTCAGAAATTCAGAATTAATGCTAGCTGGGCAGTCTGTTGTGTAGTCTGTTACTTTTCTTCCAGTAATCTCACTTCTTTCCCTGCTGCAAAAAAATAATAATAAAAGGAACATTTTTGGTTCTCAAGTTGGCTAAAATAATTCTGTGCCATCGTAATGATCAAGTAGACCAAACTTTGCATGTTCTCTTCTTATGGTATTGTACAGTTAGTTGAGTCAGACAATTTCACTTCCATATTTGACTTGTTTTTCCCAAGTAACTTAGGCTTCTTAGAATCACCTAGAATAAATAGCAATAGACTTATATACCACTTTATAGTGCTTTACAGCCCTCTCTAAGTGGTTTGCAGAGTCAGCATCTTGCCCCCAACAATTTGGGTCCTCATTTTACCCACCTCGGAAGGACAGAAGGCTGAGTCAACCTTGAACCGGTGAGATTTGAACTGCTGAACTGCTGGCAATCAGGAGTCAGCAGGATTAGCCTGCAATATTGCATTCTAACCACTGTACCACCATGGTGCATAAAAAACATGATTGCTGTCTAAGAACCACACTGTTATACAAGTAATTCTTGACTTACAACCACATTGTAAGAGCCGCGGTGATGCAGTGGTTAGAATGTAGTATTGCAGGCTACTTCTGCTGACTGCTGGCTGCCTGCAATTTGGCAGTTTAAATCTCACCAGCTCAAGGTTGACTCAACCTTCCATCCTTCTGAGGTCGGTAAAACGAGCACCCAGATTGTTGGGGCAGGAGGCTGGCTCTGTAAACCACTTAGAGATGGCTGTAAAAGCACTGTAAAGCAGTATATAGGTCTAAGTGCTATTCCTTCCTTCCTTCCTTCCTTCCTTCCTTCCTTCCTTCCTTCCTTCCTTCCTTCCTTCCCTTCGCTTCGCTTCGCTTCGCTTCGCTTCCCTATCCATTCACCATCCATCCATCCATCCCAGCTCAAGGTTGACTCAGACTTCCATCCTTCCGAGGTGGGCAAAATGAGGACCCAGATTGCTGGGGGCAATAGGCTGACTCTGTAAACTGCTTAGAGAACTTAGAAAACTGTGCCCCCTTTTTGGGCCTAGTAGGCCTCTCTGCAGCCCCCTGAGAGCAAAAATGGGCCGCGAGGGGGGCACCGCACACCCCCACACCCAGTTTTGGGCCTAGTAGGCCTCCCTGCACTTACCTGCAAGCCAAAATGGAGCACGTGGGGACTCCTGGAAGGGACAGGGAGGAGTGGGGTGGGGCCAGCCAGCAATTTAATTACCGGTTTGCCTGAACTGGCCCGAACCGGCTGAATATCACCACCGGTTTAATGTCAGGATGAACCCAATTCTCTGGGGGAAAAGAGAATATATGGAATAAAGCAGTTTATTCCATGTCTTCAAAGCAGCAGTTACGGTATATGCTAAAGTTTGGTCAGTATTAACTTGAATTACCTTTATTTTGGCTTAGCCTGTTGCGTCAGGCCAATTTGATTAAATTATCATTAAATGTATCGCATGAACTCAAACAACAGACTGATTCATCACGTTGAGTCATATTATCAGAATGAGGTCCATTGTGTTCCGCCCTCCTATTAAAAACCACCCCCTCCCCAATGTTTTATGGATTCACCCCTAAAGAATCTGAGATCCTATATCAACCCACTAATCTTCCTTAATTGGAGTAAGCATTTACTGTAAATAGAAAACATTTAACTTATCTTTGACAGAATGTTAATGGGATTAGCATGCAATATGGAATCTCTCTGGCGGTGAGTGCTGTAATCCTGCTAATTAGAGTTGTATGTTGTGGCATAAATTGAGGTTGTGATTTTAATGAGTAAAAACAAATTTCGGAAAAAAAATATGGGAAAGATCTAAATATTTTCATGTTGTCAATGAAAGCCTCTGTTTTAATCAGGGATGCAAATACGCTCGGCATAACACCTGTCCTTTTCTCTTTGGATGGGCAACAGTGCTTTTACATTGCAATTTGCAATACAGGATTATGATCTAATCTGACGCTTGATTGGCTTGGTATAAACCAGAAGTATGGGATTACAATCCCCATTCTCCTAACTAATATAAGCATTAGCAATAGCAATAGCAGTTAGACTTGTATACTGCTTCACAGTGCTTTACAGCTCTCTCTAAGCGGTTTACAGAGTCAGCATCTTGCCCCCAACAATCTGGGTCCTCATTTTACCAAACTTGGAAGGATGAAAGGCTGAGTCAACATTGGGCGGGTCAGGATCAAACTCCTGGCAGTGGGCAGAGTTAGCAATAGCACTTAGACTTATATATCACTTCACGGTGCTTTACAGCCCTCTCCAAGCAGTTTACAGAGTCAACATCTTGCCCCCAACAATATGGGTCCCCCTTTTACAGACCTCAGAAGGATGAAAGGCTGAGTCAACCTTGAATCGGTGAGAATCGAACTGCCGAACTGCTGGCAGCCGGCAGTCAGCAGAAGTATACCTGCTGAATTGCATTCTAACCACTGTGCCACCACGGCTTATCAGTCATGCAATATATCTGATTTTTTTTTTTTTGCATTTGTATTAGAAGCATCGCGGTGTTTCTGGGTTGAGAGGATTAGCCGGTGTCATCACCGTTGCCCAAGGGACACTCAGTTGGGGCTCCTAGAGCTGGAGTGAAGGACAAGAGCTCAACCCTGCTCCATGGCAGCTGTCAGGTCTCGAACACGGGCTTGTTAACTCCTGCCCAGTGTTCTCAAGCCACTGTGCTCCTATCTATCTGAACATTGACTGCTAACCCTTGTAGATTCCTCCCTGAAGAGTCAATTGCAGAGAATCCTTGACTTACAGTCCTTTGTCTAATGACTTTGCTACTGTCTTGTTCTAATTTTTTTCAACAAGTTCTCAGTTTAGAAATATGGTCTTCCGTAAGGGGGGAAAAAACCCTTGCTCATCCTGACACAGATAAGCCTCGAATTGGTGCTCTCTGGGGAAAATTGGTTTTTCAGGAGGCAACTGGACTTTCTTGCTTTTTTATTTCTCTTTTGAAGACGTTTCGCTTCTCTTCCAAGAAGCTTCTTCAGCTCTGACCGGATGGTAGGGAATGGAAGGATTTATACTTCTTGAAGACAGCTGGTCCTTTGCATCCTTTTAGAGGGTCCTTGAAGCACTTGGAGGTTTATCTGTGTCCTCAGGGTCACCTGAGTGGCGCTCCTGGTTCCTGTAGTCTGCAATTCTTTTTCCTTCTGGAAATCCATTCCTACTCCCACACCATTCCAAGGGTCTTCATCCCAAATTGTATAGCTAAAAGTCTATAGAGATTCTCAGTCATGACTTGGATGACTGAGAGTCTCTACACATGACCTGGATGATTGAGAATCTCTACAGACCATTCCACCTCCAACATTTTCTAGCTTGTGGGGGGTAGGAAGGTGTAACGTACCAGGATGTCCAACTGGGAAACCAACTGGGAACGTCGATCCTAAGCTGTCTATGAATCTTCAGGTTCTTTTCAAGAACGGTTCCTCTTAGTGGTCTTGTCATCTTTCCTCTGTGTGTGTGTGTGTGTGTGTGTGTGTGAGTGTGTGTAACAATAACAGAGTTGGAAGGGACATTGGAGGTCATCTAGTCCAACCCCCTGCTCACGCAGAAGACCTATACTAGGGATTTGAACTGCCGAACTGCCGACCTTTCTGATTGACAGTGTCTTAGCCACTGAGCCATCTAGTCAGACTATGTGTGTGTTTGTGTATGTATATGTATGTATGTATGTGTATGTATGTATGTGTATATATATATATATATATACAAACGTTCGACGTTTCGACAAAATTGCATTCGTCATCTTCTGTCTGAAGTTCTTAGTTTGGTGTTTATGAGCAAACTGTGTGATCGTAACTGACGTTTTTCTATGAAAAGAGGCAAAGGTATATTCTGATTGGTCGACGGTGTTGTTGTATTCTGATTGGCTGATGACGTAGCTGTATTTTGATTGGGTGGAAGCGCTGTTGCTTGGTTGCGGGTTAATGGATAAGTTATGCTGGAAAGTTACGATCACACCGTTTGCCCATAAACACCAAACCGAGAACTTCAGCCAGAAGATGACGAATGCGATTTCGTCGAAACGTCGCTACTACCCTTTTAAGGATATGTTTACAATTACACGGGAAGAAACCCGAGATATTAACTGTACACACATATATACCCGTGAAAACTTACATAAACATATATATATGTCTGACAAAATGTCTGACAAGCCTGAAAGTGATGATTTGAGATATCATCTCACTATGGCCATTTAACAACTTGATCTACATAGGAAAAAACCCTGATTACAAATATATATATTTGTAATATATATATATTGAGGTGCCCATAAGTGTTTTAGATTTGCAAGTCAGATCTGACCTTCCCTCCCTTCTATTCCCACCCCTTTTCAAATGTTGCAGGATCTTTTTGAGAGGGACATGGGAAACCAGACTTCATTACCATGATATTCCTCGGGCCTTCTTGTGCATAAATCCAATTATATCCTAGTAATGAGACAACTAGATTTTTACATCATGTTTAATGAATAGTAAAGCGCACTCAAAAACAAGCTGAACAGCACTGCTGGCCCCTAAGGTCTTCAAAGATCAATGGGTTTAATTGGTTATGGCAAGGCATAGACGTTGGCATTTGGGGTGGGGTGGGGGGGCGTGTATTGATCAGACCAGCTTCAATGAAGCTAGGTTATATTAATGGAAGAAGCCCGGGGTGAGAAGTCATATCTTACTACGTCTCAGCTTGGGTTTGTTATTGTAGGCGTTTGAACGGACGTAAGCTGCGATGATTCAAGCCACGATATAACCCAAAGAGATGGGCAAAATTAACTCTCCTGGCTAAATAATCTCTTTTGTTGATATGTTTCTTTCTTTATTGGGTTTCTCTGCTGCCCTGGAACCAAAAAAAAAAAAAAGATTACAGGATGCTTGAGAACATGCCCATAAATGTCAATACAGCAATTCATTAAAAACGGTAACTCCAAAGCTCTTGGTTTTAATTCAAAGGCTGAAAGCCATAAGCTGAAATGGGTTGAGCATGGCGGGTCTGCTTATAATTAATTCCTGAAGGGTATTTGAAGAGATGGCTCTTCTCTAAGGTGGCTAAGACACTATGCTTGTCGATCGGAAAAGTCGGCGGTTCTGTTCTGCCCCAGCTACGGACCCCAAAGAACGCAGCACACACAAAGTCCGTTCAAACCTTAGTTTACTAAATAAACCAGTTTTTTACAACAACGGCTGTTAATTAACGGCATTAACAGCCGCCAAGAATTCAAAGAATAATACTGAAAGCTTACTGGGGTTGGCAGAATGCCCAGAAGCAATTTGCAGGAAGCTGATAAGACAAGACACAAAAGTATGTGAACGGAGTTGTTCCCTGCAAATTGCTTTAGTCGGCATTCCTCCTTAAATGGGCTAAGGGAGTGACCAATTAGCCCCAAGCCTTACTCTCGAGGAGACCTCCTCCTGAGGAGCCACTCCTGCCTTTTGTCAACTCCGCGTGCCTGTGCATCAAGAAGAGGCTCCTCCTCTTCGTCCTCTTCACTTAAGGGAGCTTCTGGAGGTTCTGAAGGCCCTGGCTGAATCCCTGCCTCTGGCACCATATCTTCTCCAGAACTCCTCATTGTCTGACTCGAGCGCCAGCTGCACAGGCTGCTGGCACAGCACCACACCAGCCTCCTCACTGTCGGAATCAGCTCCTAGCTGCACAGGCCACTGACGGGCCACAACAGGTTCGGATCCCTAGTACAGGTCTCCTGCGTGAGCACGGGGTTGGACTAGATGACCTGCAAGGTCCTTTCCAACTCTGTTACTTCTATGGAGATTCTCGGCCATTCAGATCATGGTTGCCCCAAAGGTGCTTTTTCAAAAGGAAGCCGTACTGCTGTCATTTTTCGTTGAAGACATTTCGCTTCTCATCCAAGAAGCTTCTCCGGTTCTGCTTGGGTGAGAAGCAAAATGTCTTCAAGGAAAAACAAAGACAGTCCAGTTGCTTTCTGAAAAAAGCACCTTTGGTCGACGGAAGGTGCAACTGAAGAGCAACAGGAAGCAGAGATTTCATTTTGCTCTTATCATCTTGTCAGAAACAGGATGATATGATCATGAGTCAGAGAGAAATGTGCCTTAGTCGTAGCTCTTAATGTGAAACTAAGGTGGGCTGTATTGCATTGCGATCCATTGCATTATACATTATTCCCAAGCTCGCTCGATGCTTCATTCAATCCCTTTTAATTTTAGCATTCAGCCATTTTCCCATCTTACATTAGCTGCATCTCCGATGCCGTGGTGTCTCTAAATAAAAGCTAAATAGTGGCAGTCCGTGAGGAAGGACGATTAAATGAAATGAGCGTTGAGTCAGTTCTGATTCTAATCACACCCCGCCTGGTCTCTCTTTGTATTCTGTTCACATTGTTGTCATATTGCTTTAATCCAACAAGCTAGCCCAGTAAAGAGAAAGAACCAAACTCAAACACCAGCTGGAGAATTAGGAGTGGGGTCTGCTCGGAATTGGCAATGGCTGCAAACAAACAGAGACACAGAGGGAGAGAGAGAAATCAGAGACATCAGAAGCTGGAAATCACGCAAAATAACTGTAGTGAAATGCGGGCATCCTGGCCAAATAAATTGCAACATGCTTGATGGTTTTATATCACACGAACTCCGAGGAAGTTAGCTCCAGGAGATCTCAAAAATGCATCCTCCCTAACCTGCAGCTTCTGTTAAAAGCGATCAGACAGCGCCATCTGGTGAGCAATGCATGTATTGCAAAGATAATTGTGATTGTGACAATTACACTGGGCTTGTCAACTGGAAAGTTCACAGTCCGGGTTCGAGACCCGAGCGCTGTGTGACGGGGTGAGCTCCCGTTCTTGCTCCAGCTCCTACCCACCTAGCAGTTTGAAAGCATGCAAATGCAAGTAGATAAATAGGTATCACTTCGGTGGGAAGGTAACAGTGTTCTGGGCGCCTTGGCCTATAGCCATACTGGTCACACGACCGCAGACGTGTCTTTGGACAACACTGGCTCCCTTGGCTAAGAAACAAAGATGAGCACCACTCCCTAGAGTCGGACATGACTGGACCGGGGAAACCTTTACCTTTAGAGCTTAAGATGCTCCTCTCAGCTTCTACAGGTTTTAAGAGTGTGCTCGCTCCTTTCTTATCCTACAGAAGCTCGGCTGCCAACGACATACCAAAGGGTCATCTCTAAGGAGGGGCAGTGAAGGTGTGGTTTCCCATCACTTGGAAAGCCCTATTGTTTCTTCTCTCTCCTTTAAGCTTTTAACCAATGTCCAGGTTGGACATTGGGGTTCGTGGGGTGCTTTTGTGGGGTCATGTGAGGACTTACGCAATGGCTGTATCACTTAGCAATAGCATTTAGACTTATATACTGCTTCACAGTGCTTTACAGCGCTCTCTAAGTGGTTTACAGAGTCAGCCTATTGCCCCAGTGGTGAAATCCTGCCGGTTCTGTCCGGCTTGTGTGAACTGGTAGTGGAGGCAGCGTGTGGTTCGGCGAACCGGTAGTGGAGGAAGCATGAGGCTCCACCCACCCACCTGGATGTTGTTACTTCCTGGTTTTTAATCCTCTGCGCATGCGCAAAGCCTTCTGTTCATGCGCAGAGGGTAAAAAATCATACATGACAATGCCGCACGCACTTCCGAACCGGTAGGGAAGGTAAGTAGATTTCACCCCTGTATTGCCCCCAACAATCTGGGTTCTTCATTTTACCCACCTCGGATGGATGGGAGACTGAGTCAACCTTGAGCTGGGATGGTGAAGAGTGAAACCATTGGCCATGGATGTAATTTGGTTCCATGAAACATTCCTCTAGTTGAGGGTAACCACATGGAAACTGGCTTAGATCCAGATTCTGGTCTCAGAACTACCTCATCTGAAGGCAACTTTTAGGCATGATCCATTCCCCACCTCATTTGGCATCAAAACCCAAAGGTCTTTGGTACCAGAAGAAGAGGAGGAGGAGGAGGAGGAGGAGGAGGAGGAGGAGGAGGAGGAGGAAGTGGTGGTGGTAGAAGAAGAAGAGGAGGAGAAGGAGGAGGAGGAGGAGGAGAAAAAGATGAGAAGAAGAAGAAGAAGAAGAAGAAGAAGAAGAAGAAGAAGAAGAAGAAGAAGAAGAAGAAGAAGAAGAAGAAGAAGAAGAAGAAGAAGAAGAAGAAAAAGAAATAATAGTAGTTATCCATTCAGTCAAGAAGAAGGGGAAGGGGAAGGAGAAAAGAAGGAGGAGGAGGAGGAGAAGGAGACATACACACATGGCTCACAATGAGCTAAAATCTTGTAAGTGCTCAAAAAAAAAACACCTAATTATCTGACACAATAAGATGGAGCAGACCTTGGAGCTGAAAGCAAGGTCAGCCAATATCTAGAAGCACACAGCTATGTCCTTGTTTCTTAGCACGTGCAATCACTTGCGAGATAAGGAATTCAGCTGGGGTCATCCTGTCCCTTTCTTCATGTGACCAAATGATCTGTAGCCAATCTTTTCCATCTCATGGCTTCTTGCCATGCCCAGATGACTAAGAAAACTTCTCCCCACCCCTCCCGCCACTTTGAAAAGAATTTTTGCCCTTCAGTTGCAAGTCAATGCAAATGTAAGCGTTTTTGTTGAATGGGTTGCCTGTAATCAATTGAGACTTTTTAAAAAGTCGGCACCAGTGGCTAAGACGCCGAGCTTGTCGATCGAAAGGTCGGCAGTTCAGCGGTTCGAATCCCTAGTGCTGCTGCGTAACGGGGTGAGCTCCCGTTCCTTGTCCCAGCTTCTGCTAACCTAGCAGTTTGAAAGCACGTAAAAAATGCAAGTAGAAAAATAGGGACCACCTTTGGTGGGAAGGTAACAGCGTTCTGTGCGCCTTTGGCATTGAGTCATGCCGGCCACATGACCACGGAGACGTCTTCGGACAGCGCTGGCTCTTCGGCTTTGAAACGGAGAGGAGCACCGCCCCCTAGAGTCAAGAATGACTAGCACACATGTGCGAGGGGAACCTTTACCTTTTACCCCGTGGAAAGAGGGTGTTAGCAAGATTAGAAAATCTGTGTCGTTGTTTCGACAGCTCCTTTTTTCTTTCTCTTAAATCATACTTTTTTTTTTCAAAGAAAAAAAAAAGCAAGCGGTTAAAACAGATCTTCCTAAAGCGTTTGTCTTTGTTTTTAAATGGGACGACATCGTTTCTCTACAAGGTGACAACTTCCTTGTTATTACGATGAGAACACATGAAATCCTAAGAAATTAAACTTTTTTCCTTTCTTTCTACTCAGAGACAAACATCATGTTTTGATTTTCTTTTTCAAGGGGAAACCAGATATTTTAATCATGTCATAAATGTAAACATTAATATTTGCAAACATTGTTGGGGTTCTAATTTAGGAGTTTTGCAATTGGGTGAACTTGGAACAATTTTTATCTTCCTGATACCGATAGAAGAGAATACCGTAGTGGCCAAAATTGTGGAAACCTTTTGGGAAAAGTGTATTTTTGAGGATTGATGGCTAATAATGCCACTTTTTTTTTTTTTTTTAGAGTTTCAAGATAATCCTATTCCGCTGCTGGAATGGCCTGGGAATAGCCCAGACCTTCACCCAATTGAAAATCTATGGAGCCGACTAAAGAAACTTGTTAATCAGAAGCGACCCAGCAATAAAACCCAGTTAATAGAAGCAATCCTTCAATCTTGGTTTCACATTATAACAGCTGCAGAACTAAAAGACTTGGTTCACTCCATGGGAAGACGTTGTAAGGCAGTAATTCATGCTAAAGATTACCCAACAAAGTATTAACTGACATGGCGATAATTTTTGTATATCTCATTTTTTTCTATGGTGATCATTTTTGCATATCTCATATTTTTCTACGTGTTTCACTTTTCTTCTTTGTACTGTAATGCTATTCTAATAGCAAATCTTTTATAAAAGTTATAGCATTACATTCTTGATTAAATTATCTTTCCATTAAGATCTAATTTTGGCTTAACTTTTTTAAATGTTTTAAATTGGTTTGTTATTGTTTTTAAATTACGGGGCCAAATTTATATATATCCTTTTAATACTATTTTAATGTTCGTAACTTATGTTTTTATTTGGCTGTACACCGCCCTGAGTCCTCAGGGAGAAGGGCGGTATATAAATTGGATATAAAATAAAATAAAAAAATAGATAATTTTATGGTACTACTCCAAAAAAGGAAAAGTGTTGTTATTAGATAGTTTTAAAAAATATACACTTTTCCCAAAAGGTTTCCACAACTTTGGCCACTACTGTATTGTAGCTCAGGGTTAAACTGTGAGGTTCTTGATGGTCTCTGAGCTTGGAGGCCTCCTTCTCCCAATTTTTTTTAAAAAATAATTATGCTATTCCAATCAAGTCTATAACATGAATGTGATAACTGAGTTGTTCTTTTAAGCATCTAACAGAATAACAGAATTGGAAGGACTAAATGCTGTTAAGAAGCACCAGCTGCCTGCAATTACTGCAAGTTCGAATCTCACCAGGCTCAAGGTTGACTCAGCCTTCCATCCTTTCGAGGTAGGTAAAATGAGGACCCGGATTGTGGGGGCAATAAGATGACTTTGTATAAAAAAGAACACCGCTTAGGGGGGCCCCGAAAGCCCTATTAAGCAGGTATATACAAAAGTATGAAAGCTATTGCTTAACGCATTGTAAGTCGCCCTGAATCTCCGGAGAAAGGGCGGCATATAAATCGAACCAATAAATAAATTTTATTTTGATAGTTTTTATTTTTTTTTCAATGCCTCCTTCATCTTCCCTACGGATCAAAGGGTTAGTGCTTGTTGCTGAAATTCTAGCATTCTTGCCATCTTCTAAACTATTAGTTCCTTTCCTAAGGCTCCTGTGAGACAGTGCTCGATTTGAACATCAAATCCCTCCTTTCCGAGGAACTGTGAGTGGGTGTTTAACAAAGCATGTTGTTTGGTTGTTGTTGTTGTTTTTATCTCTCTCCTAAACAAGCATGTTGGTTTCCTTGTTTGTGCCCTTAAGATGTCGGTGACTGTTTTCTTCACTTGTTTTGAAAGCGATATTGGGATTAGAAAAGCAAACTCTTAATTGTGGAGGCTGTTGAAGCATCTCAGCGCAACTCCCTAATTTCCTCCAAGCGGACAACATTCCTTACTATTTTATTTTCCATTTCTTTCTCTTTTGTGCTCTTTGTCTCTCTCCCGTCCCAGTTGTGTCCTTGACTCCTTTTAGCGCGGACTAGAAAATGCCTGACGAAAAATAACACCTCGAAATGTTGAATATCTGAAGTTCTGAGATTAGCCACTAAGTATTGAAGAAGAGAGGTTTCTGAAATTCTGAATTAAAGTGCAAAGGAGTCAGAAGAACCACAGCAGCGGTTAAAAATATCTTCCTTTTAAAAACAGATTAGCAGGATTGAGTTAAATCAGGAGAGCTCTACTTTTTACTTTCCATCATAAATCAGGACTAAAGAACAATTTCCCTGTGGCGTCTCAGACTGTTAGGTCACCCAGCTTTCCATGAGTTTTAGATGGAACGGGAGATATTCTGCAATCATTCTCCTCCTCCTCCTCCTCCTCCTTTTCTTCTCCCTCTCCCTCCTCTTCCTCCCTCCTTCTCCTCCTTCTCCCTTCTCCTCCTTCTCTTTCTCCTCCGTTCCTTCCCCTTCTCCTCCTCCAGTCCTCCTCCTCCAGTCCTCCTCCTCCTCCTCCATTCCTCCTCCTCCTCCTCTTCCTCCATTCCTCTTCCTCTTCCTCTTCCTCCTCTGTTCCTTCTCCTTCTCCCTCTTCTTCTTCTTTCTCCTTCCTCCTTCTCCTCTTCCTCTTCCTCCGTTCCTTCCCCTTCTCCTCCTCCATTCCTCCTCCTCCTCCTCCATTCCTCCTCCTCTTCCTCTATTCCTTCTCCTCCTCTTCCTCCTGTTCCTCCTCCTCCTCCTCCTCCTCCTTCTTCTTCTTCTTCTTCTTCTTTTCTTCTTCTCCTCCTCCTTCTTCTCCTTCTCCTTCTCCTTCTCCTCTTCCTCTTCCTCCATTCCTTCTCCTCCTCCTCTTCCTCCTCCTCCTCTTCCTCCTCCTCCATTCCTTCTCCTTCTCCTTCTCCTTCTCCTCCTCTTCCTCCATTACTTCTCCTTCTCCTTCTCCTCCTCTGTTCCTTCTGCTTCTCCTCCTCCATTCCTTCTCCTCCTCCTCCTCCTCCTTCTTCTTCTCCTCCTCCTCCTCCCTAGCATATTCCCGCAGGTGCAGGGTCTGCTTTTCAGATCATTGAATGCCACTTTGCACGGTCAGCTGCGTCTCCAGGGTGCAGGCCCGTGGCTTGGATATCTTTGTTGATGGCGTCTTGCCATCTCTGTTTTGAATACCAGTGAGGTCGCCGGCCATTGACTTCTAGTTGATAGGCAGTCTTGGCAACGGTGGAAGGTGCTGCTCTGTGGACATGTCCATACCAACGGAGTCGGCCTTCTCTCATCTTCTCAATCACAGCTATTCTGGAGGCCGATATATATTTGTATTCGTTGAAACCTGCGTTGAGTGAGAAATGACCTCTCAGGTTTTGGGGTTTCAGTTCCCCAGACGCAGAAATGCAGGTAGTCCTCTACTTACGACCACAATTGAGCCTAAAACGTCTGTTGCTAGATGAGACAGTTGTTAAGCAGGTTTTGCTTCAATTTCACCTTTCCTGCCCTAGTTGATTAAGTGAATCACTGCAGTTGTTAAGTTAATAATACGGTTGCTAAGTGAATCTGGCTTCCCCATTGACTTTGCTTGTCAAAAGGTCCCAAAAGGGACCCGGGACACTGAAACCGTCATAAGTACATGCCAGTTGCCAAGCATCCAAATTTTTTTAATCACGTGATCATGGGGATGCTACAACGGTCATGCGAAAAATGTTCCTAAAGTACATTTTTTCCCCAGTGCCATCCTAACTTTGAATGGTCCTTAAACAAACTGTTCTCAGTGGAAGATTGCTTGCATTATGCTTTTATTTTTTTTCTTCCGCCCGCTTTTCTTTCTCTTTCTTGTCA